CTCCTGTTGACCACTTCCAATTTGCCTTGATTCATGGAACTAACATTCCAGGTTCCTATGCAATATTGCTCTTTTCAGCATCCAACCCTGCTTCTATCACTAGTCCCATTCACAACTGGGTGTTGTTTTTGCTTTGGCTCCATCGCTTCATTCTTCTGGAGTTATTTCTCCACTAATCTCCAGTAGTATATTGCACACCTACAGACCTGGGGAGTTCATCTTTCAGTGTCCTATCTTTTTGCTTTTTCATACTGTTCATGGGGTTCTCAAGGCAAGAATACTGAAGTGGTTTGCCATTCCCTTCTCTAGTGGACCACATTCTGTCAGATTACTCATCATAATATTACTCATCATAACATTACTCATCATAACATTACTCATCATAATGTTACATAAAGATAGATCAGACCATGCCTCCCTTAGGTACAGAATTCTCCACTGATTCCACATCTCAGAGTAAACACTTGGGGCAATGCAGTGGTTTCTTAATAAACTCTACTTTGTCAGAGGATATGTATTAAAATTTATTTCCAAATTCATTTTGATTGTGATTTATTTAGAATTTTATATTACCTTTGTTAAGTCTATAATTGGGGCTACAGCAATTGTATCACATGAATTGATAAACTTTCGAACTTTTTCTATTTTAAATCAGTGTATATACTATGAAAATTATCTCTGTCCTAAGCTTGATGTAATTTGACTGTGAAATTTTCTCACAGAGTTCCTTTATAACATAGCACCTAGCAAAGCTTTCAATTTCTGCCAAGGTTACTCAATCCTATTATTATTTTGCTTTAATATTTAGAATAATATATACTCTTGTTTTATATGTATTTCTGTGAAACTTTTAAATTTTTACATGCATTAGCAAATTGGACTTTTTCATTATAATTTAAAATCATCATATTTGAGGCTACATCTTCTTTTTCATTCTGGATGTAATGTATCTCTATTTTCCTTAGTCTAAGATGTACATGACCTGACTCTATATCATTTCTCTGATCTCCTCCTAACCCACTGCTTGCTCTACTCCCAGCTTCCTCTAGGTCTTTGCATTTACTATTTTCTCTGCCTGGCATGCTATTCCCTCAATGTCTTGCATGACTGACACACTCCCTTCCTTTCAGAAGTCTGCTGAAACATCACCTTCTCAGAAAAGGCCTTCTTGTATGCTTATATATGAAATGGCTTTGATCACTCTCTACCAACATTATTCAGCTTATTTTACCAATATAGAGCTTACCATTATTTTATCCACATAGAACCTATCACTGTCTAAAATGTTATATATTTAGTTAATCTATGTACTTCCACTAGCATGTAACTCTATGAGAGCAGTTGCATGGATATTTACCTATATCCCTGAAGTGCAGAAAAAATTCTGAACACAGTAGCGCTTCAACAAATACCTGTTGACTTAATAAACTATGAAACTCTATGAACTTCTGACTTTTTCCCCCTCTGAATTCATCTTTAACCATGCATCATATCATGGTTTTGAGAGGTAAGGCTGTCATTTAAAAAATCATCTTTAATTTTTCTTTTGCTATCTACTTTAACTGAAAAGTTATTTAGTAGAGAAATTTCAAATTTAAAATAGCTTTTAAAATTACACTTCAGTTATTTAGTTCTAGACTTTTTGTATTGAGTTTTGACAAAGTGATCTCTATAATTTTTTGCTTGGAAATGTATTTAGATTTTATTTGAGGCATATCATTGTAGCCCTTTCTCACAAGTGTTATAAAAGTAACAGAAAATAAAGTACTTTCCCTGAACTTAAAACTTTCATATAGGTATCTATCTATGTGTATGTCTATAGATATGTAATTAAAGGGATTAATTATATTATTCTTATCTATTATTTTTGCCTGGGTAGTTGATCAAAGACTAAGAGGGCAGTAAAGTTTCCAAGTATTATTTTGTCTCTGTGAATTATACCCTCATATTTCTAAAAACATTTACATATTATAAAGGTTTTCTTGTTTTAAAAATCTACTTCTATAAGGTATAACTTATATAATATAAAATGACATAGATGAATTATATTTCCATGATTTTTACCAAAAGTATACCACACAACCTATGTAACCATCATAATAGAAAGTATGGAATATTTCCATCATTTCAGAATGTTCTTTCGCTACTTTGAAGTCAATATCGTCTGAATCCCTACCTCTTATAATCACTGATTATATAATTATATAATTTCTGTCACTGTGGATTCATTTTTCAATAGATACATGCTATATACTCTTTATTATCTAGCTTTTTTTCACTCAGCATTTTGAGATATTTATTTATATAGTTGCATGTATCCAGATGTTCAAGCTGGATTTAGAAAAGGCAGAGGAACCAGAGGTCAAATTGCCAACATCTGCTGGATAACTGAAAAAGTGAGAGAGTTCCAGAAAAACATCTACTTCTGCTTTGTTGACTACACCAAAGCCTTTGACTGTGTGGATCACAATAAACTGTGGAAAATTCTTAAAGAGATGGAAATATCATGTCACCTGACCTGCCTCCTGAGAAATATGTATACAGGTCAAGAAGCAACAGACCTGGACATGGAACAGCAGACTGGTTCCAAATCCAAATATATGTCAAGGCTGTATATTGTCGCCCTGCTTATTTAACTAATATGCAGAGTACATCATGAGAAATGCTGGACTGGATGAAGCACAAGCTGGAATCAAGTCTGCCAGGAGAAATATCAATAACCTCAGATATGCAGATGACACCAGCCTTATGGTAGAAAGCGATGAAGA